TGCACTTCGGAGCGGGCTGTTCGCGTTCAGGGCTTTTGACTTCGGGCGTTTTAAAATGCATCGACGCTGATGCCAACAAGCCAGCGACGCTGCCGGTGTGAACGGCATTGAGCGCTCCGAGTCAGTCCCTCGAGGTACATAAAGCGGTTCGCGCTGCTCAGAATGACGCTCTCACGCTGTTAGGACACTGTACCCACAGTGTTCGAATACTGGACATCTTCAGGGTATTCCTCCTGGAGCATCAGAAACATTTCACCTGTAATTTTAAATAGTGACGTTTTCCCAGTAAATAGTTAGCTTTGACAGGCCCTGAATCACTTTTTGGAGGCCCTTTTTCTTCCCGTGTGTCACCATAAACAAGGAGAAATTGCAACGTAATCTGGTAAATACACATGTATCAAATGCAGCCAAAGTCTGGGTTTTTTAACACGGAGACAGCCAGTGCTGTGTACCACAACCTGAGCTGAAAACCATGGGTTTCCGTGTTGCATCCTGGCATCTTTATCAGCCAGATCCCTACTCTTGTTCTTGTCATTGACAGTCGATGCCATCTCTTTTCTTTCACATTACTAGTACAGGACCTTCACACATACTATCCCTCTAGCATCTTACCCTGGCCTCCAGGAGTCTTTCTTATTGCTATCGTTTTTCTGCTTTCCCCGAACACCGAGGGTTATCAACCTTGTGTTTTCCTTTCCAGTTATCTTTGTGCTTTGCTTAATCTACCCCTTTCAGTTCTCTTGAAGCCCCTTTAATCCTTCTTCTTTTAGAGGGTTCTGCCCACTACCATGTGACTTTTAATTTCAAGAGTTTTTTCTTCTTCTCTTTGGCATCTGTATAAATAGACCCTAAGAAGTAGTGCCAAGGAGAAAGAGCACACCAGAAACCCTGGATGAAGAAAGAGTCAGGTTTTTGTCTGCCATTAACAGCCATTGCTCAGTTAACTAGAGACATGGCTGAGTCTGCTGTCAATAAAAGTCTTTTCATAGTTTCTCTGGTACACCCTGGTGCTGGAAGAGGCTGATACTCTCAAGCAAGATGAAGAGTTAGGGGGCATGCTTAAGAAGGGCAAATGGCAGGAAAAATGAAAAAATAAAGAAAAAGAAAACATGAAAGCAAGGCATGGAGATGATGGAAACTGTGTTGCTTGAGTCATATAAAACTAGCCTAACAATATAAAATGCTAAAGGGTAAAATGCTGCATTGGCACAGGGCTGGCCATGATGGACTAATAGGTTTTTATAGTCTCTTATTTCAGTTCTTGTATAACTCCAGAGAAATAAGAAGTCTCACAAAGCTCCTGTTTTTGCAGTAAAGATCATGGGTAGGTAGTTGCCACTTCTGAGAGCTTCTCCGGTTTCTTTTTAACTTAAGATTTGTCAGCTGTTCAGAGACACAGGATTTCCACATCTACCTAGAGACACAGTTAACACTTGTCTTGAGGGACTGCTGCAGCAGTTCTAGAAAACTATCCTGAGCTAAATAATGAAAACATTTTTGATACATCCAGTGCTCACTATTTTGATGAATCATTTGCAGTTCTAACACATCAGTATGTTGAAGGAGAATCAAAGGGTGGTATTGCAGAAAGCAAATGAAGGACAAAGGGAGAGACAGTTGAATGATTTAAGAAAAAGGCTAGGTGATAAGAGATCTTGATTCTGTTTTTTGGCATAGCCACAGCGTCCTGCACAGCCTTCAGCAAACTTCTTAATAGCTCAGTTTTTCCTGAGTGGAGGATGCAAAGTTTAAACATATCTAAAAATCCTCAGAGCATTTTGGGAATCCTGGACAGCACAGACACACCAAAACCCCTCTGTTCTTTAGTGAGCCTAGGTAGTGAAAGCACAGTAAGTGTTCCCCCTGCTCATTCCAAAGTGTTATTTGAACAATTGTGAGGCATGTTCTCAGCGAGCCTGTTGACAGTGTCACCGGCCGCAGTTCCACAGGCATTCCAGGCAGCGGGAATATCGGCAGCGCCGCCCGCAGCCATCGCGCCCCTTTCAGCACTGCAGCCTGTGCAGCCAACGTCCCCCTTGCTATCCGGGGCACACAGCCAACACCAAACCATACTGGGGGGTTTTCTGGCATGCTCCTGGATGGGTGGGTGGGCTGGACAGGCTTGGCATAGGCTTGTGAGGTTGCTGCCAACATTTAACAAAGGAATCCTTTACACACATTCTTGCCTGCTACGGCACCTTTTCAGCCCGCTCTGTAGCACTCAAAGGGGAGAAAGAAATGTCTACGTTTAATATGTAAATAAAAGTATTGATCCAGAAAAAAGGTCATTGCATTCATCCAACACAGATCACATTGCTTTCAGATAACTTTGTTTTTACAAGGTCATAAACTTTTCAAGCACAGCCTGCCATTTCATTGTGTGGCTGCATACCAAGGAAAATGGGGAACCAGGTCAATGATCAGCACTCAAGACACCACCATAGCATCAAGCTACTCAGATTGTGGAATTTGTCAGAAAGGACTTCATATCCAGCTAAAATCTGACTGAATAGTGAAAAGAAGGAAAAAAAACAGCACAGAGGGGAGGAAATCAAAGTATGCTATTCATAGACAGGACAATTAAATGATCAAAGATCTGTATTTTTACAGAACAGTTAATCCAGCTTTGACAGGATTAAAAATTCCCCATTAGAAAGAATTTCCAGGATAGTGGTGCTAAATTAAAACCAACTGCTGATTTAGGTGTAAAAAGCACTGGAAAGATAATCTTAATTATTATCACTGATCAAACTGAACAATCCTCACCTCTCAACTTTCATACAGCCTGTAATAAACTGCTGAACTTCTTATGGGTTCATTTCATTAAGCACATTTAATTTTTATTTCCAAGATTAAAGTGTGATTCCACTGCAACTGAAGAGGAATAACAACTTAAAACCAGATTTTCAAAGCTACATTTATGTCATTTTAATGTACTTTAAATTATTTTAATGTTTATACATAAAACTTTGTAGATCTGGATAGTGCTTCTTATGAAAGGTGCTTAAATGTAGTTAAGAGTGTGAAAGGAATTAAAATCCTAACAGGAAAGTTACATCTGTGCAAGTACCTGAAAAGAGCTGAGAGGTTCTTTAAGAAAATACTCGGGTATTTCCACATGACCTACCAAAGGGAAGGAGCACTGGTATGCTGCCAAATTCCAAGAGAGCTGAGCAGTGATTAGAGTTTAACTCTGGCATCAGAGAAGAGGTTTTTTTCCCCTTGAATTTCTCACTGTAAGAAATGCTGAAGCTTTTTCTCAACTTTTCAGTTAGGGGGCAAAAAAAAATAATCCAACAAACCCCACTCTAAAAAGCTAATAAAAGGACTTGCTTTAGGAAAACACCTGGTAGTTTTAAGTGCTTTAGTTCAGTAAATTGACCGTTTTCACAGCATGGAAGTGTGGCTTGCACACTTTGATTCTGTAGCCATGGGCGACATGGGAAGCAGGCAAACAATTTTGCTGAGTCAGAGTTAGGAATTAATACAACAGGAATAAGCTGCAAGTTCTGCCATGGACTTTAACCAGAAGGAAAACTGGACAGAATGGTGGGGACACATGCAGTCAGGTCTCTCTAGCTGGCAGAGGATCACTGCTGCTGAATAGTGTGATGATTCCTACTTCACCACATTCAACTACAGCTGAAGCAGCACTGTGCAACCTCCCAGGGTAAGACCACTCAGCATAAAGGCTCCTCAAAAACAAGAGCTGAATGCCTCAGCTAGAAGCCAAAGCACAGTTGTATCAACTGAGAAAAGTATCAAGAGAAAAAGAGAGAACAGAAGGCAGCAGTGGCTGGAAGTCACCACAGGACCTGTCCCAAGGAGCACTATGGGGTTGGTGTCACCTTGAAGGGAACAGGAGAAAGTTTCACTCCTGGAATTTCACTATCACTATGAGGAAACAGTATTTCCTCTTCAAAAACAAACCAGCCCCCCAAAAAATAAAAATCTCCAAATTAACAAAACCAAGAGTGGCATCACTGCCAATAAAACCAGTCAGACCCTTATTTGCAGACTTTGGAACGTAACTTTATATGCTACTAGCAATGCTCCATTCACAGAGAAACTTTTTTGTTGTGTTTTTTTTTTTATCCACTCCAGGATTAGAGATTGGCATGTCCCTCAGTATTGTCTACTAGTCTAGTTGTTTTTCCCCTGCCTTCATCACTGATGAAGTCATCATTGACTCCTTTCACCTCCAAAAACTTTTACAGGCATCTGCAAATGCTAGAAAGGAGGTAGTTACACCCTGCAGTCACAGCTGGGCTGAAGGACACCAGACATTGTACATAGCAGGGAAGTGAAATTAATTTTTATAAAAAATAGAAGCAAGACCTCATATTCTTAAGAAAAGTGCCAGCAGACCTGTAATGGTGCTGGGAACCAGCCAAGACTGTGGGTTCTATTTCTTTTCAAAGAATCCTGTATAATGAAGCACACTGAAAAATATGCAGAGACTGACAGCAGTGTTTATTTTATTCATGGCACTACATTTATTCAGGGAACAGAGGAAGAAAAAGCCTGAACTAAGAAAAAAGGTAGTCCCCTTCCAGTAACACTAGAAAAACACCCAGGCCTAGAAGAGAAGGTCAGAAATCACTGGTTCCCCCTGACTGCACAGTCATGGTCATGCGGCCCCTGTGATACCCAGACTTTTTATAGCAAGAAAAGCAGTGTGCAGGGTACCAGAGGCCTTTGGAGAGAAAGAGCTGATTTTTAGTTTTTGAGGAGGTGGCAAGCTGAAAGGGAAGATGAAAAAAACTGTATAAACCATGCTTTACAAGTAACATTTTAAAAGTCCCTTAGCAGGCTTAAAAGAAAAAAAAAAAAAAGAAAAAGAAAGAAAAAAAAAAAAAGCAGCAAGCTGAAGTACACTCACTACATTCTTTCCTTCCATGGGCGAAATGGGCCAGTGCAAACAACTGACCTCAACTGTTCTAATGCTGTGCTGGTCATTACCTAACCAACCAGCCTGGCCCTGCACTGCTGGTGGGGAGCTGCAAATGTTAAAGCACTTCATTTTTAAATTATCCTTCAGAATTTGTTTTATGTACAGCTAAACTACAGTTTATTGCTAACATCAGCTAACGTGACAACGGGTCAAAGAATATTCCCTTTTTTTATCAGCACTTAATTCCTCCATACGACAGAACTTCATATTCAGCTAATCTGGCTCATTCCCTTGCAGAGTATTCTTCAGTTACATGGGTTTTCTACATGCAAGAGGAAGTTTTGGCCTTTTTTTTTTTTTCTTTTTTTAAACAGGAAAAATAATTCCAAGTCTTCCATCACTGGCTATAAACTCAAGGCAAGCATATGGCCTCAACTCTACAAAGCCATACACAGCGGAACTAATAAATCCTGATTCCTTGCAGACTTAAGCCTTTTCTTCCTACCTTCCCCACCTCACCCCTCCCACTGAGCCCAATGACCCAGCACCCTCTCAAGGGTCCCTTTTCACACACAGCAGGCTTAGCTCCTATTTATGTCCTCAAACTACTGCTTGAGCAAAAGGAAGCAAGTGTTATGCCAGGTTCCATGTGTGCAG